GAATACGGTTGCTAGGAGATATAAAAACAACGCTACTTTTCCATATAAGTCATGTGACTGGTATGTATAATTTCGGAGATTGTTACTTTATTATGAAGTTTTTAAGGAGGTATCTGTTTCTATGGGGGCATGAACTTGCTAGCTCATTTCGCTTGTTTAGACTGCAAAGTTCCTTTTTACATATGATCGTGAATTTTTCAAAAAGACATAAATTACATTTCTTAGTAATGTTGTTGTACGGTTTGCATTGTTTGATGATTTTCCAGGTTAGGTTAAAAGGTTTGCTATTGTCCTTCAGTGTCCATATGTGTTTAGATAGATCAGTCTCGTGTCACAAACACTAGACAAAGAATGTAACGGTCGGAAAAAAGACCAATGCCCCCTAGAGGGAAAATGCCTCACATCAAACGTAGTCTACTAAGCAACAGTCACAACTGAAACGTCAACAGATTCATACGTGGGACTCGCGACAAATTTTAAAGAACTGTACAGAAACCACAGAGCTTCCTTCTGACACCAAACTTTGAACCCACGTCCCTCCTGTTACTAGTCAGGTGTGATGAAACTGGCCTGTATCCGTAATTGGATCCTCCTTTGTGATCCGCTAAGTTGACTTCGGTCGTGTATCTTTAATAGATCCTTAGTTGGGTTTCATATGGGGTTATAAGCTTTCCCTACCCTGTCACCTTGAAAAAAATGAATTTCCCGGGAGACCACGTCTCCGATCACGTAAATCACATCTTTGATTGCTGTGTTGCCAGCATGGTTGTTCTGTTAGTGTAGTGGTCTTCACACCTGACTAGTAACAGGAGGGACGTGGGTTCAAATCCCGCTCAGGGCAAATTTTCTTTTGAAACATTTATTCTATTTAAGTATGATTACTTATGGTGTACAGGGTCAGGGTTTCCCTCGTATACAGAATATATATATATATATATATATATAAACAATTGTATAGGAAAATAAAAATTAAAACTTCGCACTACAAATCTGTTTTGAAAGGGTTAAAAAGTCCTCTCTCGTCAGGTGCATATATATATATATATATCAGTCCTGGTGGGAGATTAATTTGTCTGAATTCCTTAGGGAAACCCAGGAGAAGACACTAGAGAGATTCGTTGAGGAATTAAAGGATTAATAAATGGACTGACAGATAGATACACAAACGAATTAATTTGGATTTCATTTTCCTTTTTCCTAGCACCACCTCCTAGATGGAGTAGTTGGGGCTCCTGGATTAGCTGTATAAACGGCTTGAAATCAAGGCTTCGCACAAGGATATTTCAGTTTGATTCCAGCCGCAAGGATTGCGACGAATGTTCCACAGGCAACGGCGGGTGCGCCCAGATATGTACAAACACTCATGGATCTTACAAGTGCAGCTGCAGAAAAGGATATCAGGCAAATGGACGCAGCTGTTCAAGTATGTGTTTCATGAATTACGGTCTATAGCTTTTAAGCTTAACTTAAGTTTAGCAAATATTTATAAACGTATTTCCAACATATTTGTGTAAGCACTGTGATTTCTATACTTTTTTCTCTTTGATAAAGCAAGCTTCCTCTCCTATTTCTCTTATGAGTTCTCCAAGGCTATTGATGCTAAGGCCTTGTTGAAACAGTTTGAATCAGTCTTACTTTGAAATTGGATTAGTAGAATTTGATTTTTGATATTTTCCTTTTCCTTGAGTTTTTTTCTTTCAGCTTTGACGACTTCGCGTAGTCATATCCAACAATCACAGAATCAATGTTAAATATTGCTCGGTAATTTTTTTTTAAGTTTGACTTCTAAATAATCTTTGAAGAGCTTCTATCCCTTTTTTTCTGTAGAAATGATTAATATCAACCCCTATCTTTTCATATGAACTCGTTTTCGAAAAGAAAACACCTATCAATATTCACTATGGACTGTTTTTGCTTTTCTCGTTTCTAAAAAATTCTAATTATTCTTAAGTCACTCAAAACACTTAGTTTACAACGCAGAAGAAGACCCCATACGCGTACAGGCTCTATTCACCGGGACTTACAGTGCTATTTCACTGATGAGTGCTATGAAGGAAAAAATATCATGAGATCCACCCTTAAACTTAACTACGCTTACAATATCGCATCATGAGCTAACATACCGATCGCTGCACACTGCTGCTCTATGTACCTTCTACCATGCCAACCTCTCTTTAAAAAAAAAACAAAAACCTACTTGTGGCAGTAACATGGCCACGTGTCTTTGCCGGTAGCTATTCTTTGGACTCTTAAATGGATCTCTTTCATTTCAGAATACCGATGTCCTTCTCTAGGATATCCATCCAATGGAACGGTAGTTAGGTGTAACCAAGAATATCTAGGTTACTGCGAAATAGCATGTAACACGGGTTATGAATTAGTCGGAGTGGCGCGCAGCCAATGCTTGCTGAGAGGCTCGACGGCTTATTGGAGTAATTCCTTGCCAAGTTGCAAAGGTAAAAACACATATAAGGCCGTGAAATTCATTCGTGAAGGTGATAAAAGTATCTAAAGATTACAGCTGTCTAAGCACAGAGTTGCAAAGTTGTCAAAAAGCATGTACGGCAGTCTGTCTTTGACAGCCTCATAGTATTGTCTTTTAGCCATCCTTTTCACATTTTGATGTTTTTCCACCGGACTATTCGAATAATTTCATCAAAAGGATTTACTCTGAATAGACTCTGGTGTTCTCGAAGGTGAAATGTATCGACGCTTGCTCCATACTATATATTAGAACCACTCCACTCCCCCTGCGGCTTACTGGATATGGGAAGCCAATAATATTGATTCCAATTAGTGGGCCGCATAAAGATAGTGCTTGTCTCTGGATCGTTTTGAAGTAATTTAAAGTTTTTAAGAATGATGGATTTAACTGAGTGGTTGTGAGGTTGAAACGTGAGAGTGAATGGAATGCGGTCGGAATCTTCCTTATGTGACGTTTGTAGTGCTGAATATTGATCAATAAGTTGGGCGCGGTGGTAACCCGCTTGAACGACAGAAACAGGGTAAACACGTTTATCGAAAAACTGGCACATTGCCTCTGATTTGTGGTGGAAATCAGTCATCACTACATGAACGACGAAGTCTTAGAAACTGAGAAAAGGGAATGGAGTTCTTAACGTGAGATGGATGCGAAGACGAATATAACAAGTAATTCTGCGAGTCTGTAGGTTTGTAATGCAGACTAGTATATAAACCGTGACCTTCAATTGAAACTTTGATGTCTATAAAGGATAAAGAATTGTCAGAAATTTCCCAGGTATATTTCAGAGCCGGGTGAAAAGAATTGACTGCCGTTATGAATTGAGTGAGCTCCTCTCTGGTAGAGGAGGTAGCACCGATACAGTCGTCGATGTAGCGACCGTAGAGTTCAGGTTTAGACCCGTTGTATTGGCTGAAAAACTGATGTAATCAATGCTTTTGTAATCGTTACGGTGGCCAATTTACCATTTCAACTTTGTTGATATATCCAAATTATTATCTATCAATTAGACCTTTTTGGAAGAACTGAAACACAACTAAAAATTTTAACACAATAAATTTGTTAGTTAAGGTTACATTTTTCTGATGTCGCTTATCCTTCTCACGACAGCGAAAAGATGCCAGAAATTGACTATAAAAAATGGCGCTTTTAAAAGTGGTTCATGTAAGAACAGCCCAACTCATGGTCAAGAGTGCTCAATCGGTTGTAATCCTGGATACGAATATAGGGGAACACCTAAAAGCTCTAAATGTAATGATGGATCTTGGAGCAACAGCATCATAGTCTGTCAGGGTAGGTACAAACATCTGTTAGGTTGTAAGCGACATTCTTATTTTTTAGATGTGTAATTATTATAATTTGTTTATCATTAGAGTCAAGGGGTTGCTTTTAAGCTGATTTTTAAGCATATGTTCGCCGAGGTCTAGCAGAAATCTACTGCGTCTGCGTAACCCTTACATTTCAATGTCTGGTTACTCCTGTTAGAAAATGTGACGCATCTGCGTCATAACGGAAATCAACTTCTATCATTTGACCAATAGATATGGACATTTCAAGGCGCAAACAAGGCAAAAAAATGGTTCATGTAAAGAAGCTAACAAAGCAGATAAGACAGCTCACCTTGAAAACCTATGTTGTCATTTTACACTTTTTTAATGTTTTAGTTATTGCGTTTAGCTAGGGATAATCCGTTAGTGACAGTTAGAATTAAACTTTTGACCCTTCGACAGATACGGAACGTCCTAAATTTGATAGACATTGCCCCGTGGAGATCACGGAAGTCGCTCGAGGAGGGCAGAACTCCGCTCCGGTACAGTGGGGAGTATTCACCGCGAAGGACAACTCCCAAAAAGTGAAGGTGACCCCAAAGAATCTTAAACAACCGCAAATAATGATGGAGGGCAGACACACGATTCTCTATAAAGCAGAGGACGCGGAAAAAAATCGTGCATTTTGCAAAGTAAACATAAATGTTAAAGGTGAGACATGTTTGATGCTACTCTGGTTTAAAGATTTTATGAATATAACAGAAATGTTACAATTCATTCCTGTCCTGTGCAAAGCGTTGACGGGCTCCGAAGAGTGCGTATGTACGTGTTTATAAATGAGAAATAGTTATAATAATAATAATAATAATAATAATAATAATAGTAATAATAATAACAAAAATAGCGTATTCACAGTATCTCCGTGAGATAATCATGGTTCTTCGCCTGTAAACTATCTACAGTTACTGTAATAACATCCTAATGTGTATATGTAACAACAAGAATTTAAAAACAATTAAATGATTAAATCAAATGAATAAAATATTCCTTAATACTTAATGTTCTACTGCTTGTGATATCAACAAAAAAGTGTTTTCGATCACTCCAAATTATAAGACACTACACAATGAAAGTGCTTAATACTGTGGAAATAAGCCATCGTTTGACGCTTTGCGTATAAGTTTTGATAGGCCTAAACATGGCAACTGCGTGTTGTGTTATGCTTTTGTACTTGTTCGCAATCTTTCTTACCTTTTTTAGGTGAGCCAAAAAGAGCCAATTGGTGGCTTTCAGCGAAATAAATACTAGAAGGCATACTTTTAAGTAAAAATGTTAATAGTTTGGAAATATTTCAGATTGACCTTACAAATTAACCAACAATCACAGAATCAATGTTAAATATTGCTCGGTAATTTTTTTTTAAGTTTGACTTCTGAATAATCTTTGAAGAGCTTCCATCCCTTTTTTTCTGTAGAAATGATTAATATCAACCCCTATCATTTCATATGAACTCGTTTTCGAAAAGAAAACACCTATCAATATTCACTGTGGACTGTTTTTGCTTTTCTCGTTTCTAAAAAATTCTAATTATTCTTAAGTCACTCAAACACTTAGTTTACAACGCAGAAGACCCCATACACGTACAGGCTCTATTCACCGAGACTTACAGTGCTATTTCACTGATGAGTGCTGTGAAGGAAAAAATATTATGAGATCCACCCTTAAACTTAACTACGCTTAGATTATCGCATCATGAGCTAACATACCGATCGCTGCACACTACTGCTCTATGTACCTTCTGCGATACCAACCTCTCT